GCCTACACAAAAGCCTTCACAAAAGCCTACACAAAAGCCTCCACAAAAGCCTTCACAAAAGCCTACACAAAAGCCTCCACAAAAGCCTTCACAAAAGCCTACACAAAAGCCTACACAAAAGCCTACACAAAAGCCTACACAAAAGCCTACACAAAAGCCTACACAAAAGCCTCCACAAAAGCCTTCACAAAAGCCTCCACAAAAGCCTTCACAAAAGCCTACACAAAAGCCTCCACAAAAGCCTTCACAAAAGCCTACACAAAAGCCTACACAAAAGCCTCCACAAAAGCCTTCACAAAAGCCTACACAAAAGCCTACACAAAAGCCTACACAAAAGCCTACACAAAAGCCTCCACAAAAGCCTACACAAAAGCCTACACAAAAGCCTACACAAAAGCCTTCACAAAAGCCTACACAAAAGCCTACACAAAAGCCTCCACAAAAGCCTCCACAAAAGCCTACACAAAAGCCTACACAAAAGCCTACACAAAAGCCTCCACAAAAGCCTCCACAAAAGCCTCCACAAAAGCCTACACAAAAGCCTACACAAAAGCCTACACAAAAGCCTCCACAAAAGCCTACACAAAAGCCTACACAAAAGCCTCCACAAAAGCCTTCACAAAAGCCTACACAAAAGCCTACACAAAAGCCTACACAAAAGCCTACACAAAAGCCTACACAAAAGCCTTCACAAAAGCCTACACAAAAGCCTCCACAAAAGCCTCCACAAAAGCCTACACAAAAGCCTCCACAAAAGCCTCCACAAAAGCCTACACAAAAGCCTACACAAAAGCCTACACAAAAGCCTACACAAAAGCCTACACAAAAGCCTACACAAAAGCCTACACAAAAGCCTCCACAAAAGCCTACACAAAAGCCTCCACAAAAGCCTTCACAAAAGCCTACACAAAAGCCTACACAAAAGCCTACACAAAAGCCTCCACAAAAGCCTACACAAAAGCCTCCACAAAAGCCTACACAAAAGCCTCCACAAAAGCCTCCACAAAAGCCTACACAAAAGCCTCCACAAAAGCCTCCACAAAAGCCTCCACAAAAGCCTACACAAAAGCCCCCACAAAAGCCTCCACAAAAGCCTCCACAAAAGCCTACACAAAAGCCTCCACAAAAGCCTACACAAAAGCCTACACAAAAGCCTACACAAAAGCCTCCACAAAAGCCTACACAAAAGCCTACACAAAAGCCTACACAAAAGCCTACACAAAAGCCCCCACAAAAGCCTCCACAAAAGCCTCCACAAAAGCAGTCGCTATTATGGACATAAAAGCCTCGCACACTCCGAGCAAGAAGGACACAACGTTTCATTACATATTGACTGATGTCAAACGGCGACTTTTTCCACGGCCAATATATATTTTTTTTTCCTTTGAAACTCAAAAATGTTGCTCAAACTCTGATCAATTAACCTGTTGGTGTGTGCAGCACGCACAGTGTTTACCATGGCTTGGTGGAGGTGTATTTGTTGGTCAATACAGGACGCTAGAGGTCAATATTTCCTGGTCCTCATACCCCAGCTCCTTGTCCTCGTATCCCAGCTCCTTGTCCTCATATCCCAGCTCCTTGTCCTCATATCCCAGCTGCTTGTCCTCGTATCCCAGCTCCTGGTCCTCATATCCCAGCTGCTTGTCCTCGTATCCCAGCTCCTGGTCCTCATATCCCAGCTCCTGGTCCTCATATCCCAGCTCCTTCCTCATATCCCAGCTCCTTGTCCTCATATCCCAGCTCCTTGTCCTCATATCCCAGCTCATTGTCCTCATATCCCAGCTCCTTGTCCACATATCCCAGCTCCTGGTCCTCATGTCCCAGCTCCTTGTCCTCATACCCCAGCTCCTTGTCCTCATATCCCAGCTCCTTGTCCTCATATCCCAGCTCCTTGTTCTCATATCCCAGCTCCTTGTCCTCATATCCCAGCTCCTTGCCTCATATCCCAGCTCCTTGTCCTCATATCCCAGCTCCTTGTCCTCATATCCTAGCTCCTTGTCCTCATATCCCAGCTCCTTGTCCTCGTATCCCAGCTCCTTGTCCTCGTATCCCAGCTCCTTGTCCTCATACCCCAGCTCCTTGTCCTCATACCCCAGCTCCTTGTCCTCATACCCCAGCTCCTTGTCCTCATACCCCAGCTCCTTGTCCTCATATCCCAGCTCCTTGTCCTCATATCCCAGCTCCTTGTCCTCATATCCCAGCTCCTTGTCCTCATATCCCAGCTCCTTGTCCTCATATCCCAGCTCCTTGTCCTCATATCCCAGCTCCTTGTCCTCATATCCCAGCTCCTTGTCCTCATACCCCAGCTCCTTGTCCTCATATCCCAGCTCCTTGTCCTCATATCCCAGCTCCTTGTCCTCATATCCCAGCTCCTTGTCCTCATATCCCAGCTCCTTGTCCTCATATCCCAGCTCCTTGTCCTAATACCCCAGCTCCTTGTCCTCATATACCAGCTCCTTGTCCTCATATCCCACCTCCTTGTTCTCATATCCCAGCTCCTTGTCAACATATTCCAGCACCTTGTCCTCATATCCCAGCACCTTGTCCTCATATCCCAGCTCCTAGTCCTCATATCCCAGCTCCTAGTCCTCATATCCCAGCTCCTAGTCCTCATATCCCAGCTCCTAGTCCTCATATCCCAGCTCCTAGTCCTCATATCCCAGCTCCTAGTCCTCATATCCCAGCTCCTTGTCCTCATATCCCAGCTCTTTGTCCTCATATCCCAGCTCTTTGTCCTCATATCCCAGCTCCTTGTCCTCATATCCCAGCTCCTGGTCCTCATATCCCAGCTCCTGGTCCTCATATCCCAGCTCCTTGTCCTCGTATCCCAGCTCCTTCTCATATCCCAGCTCCTTGTCTACATATTCCAGCACCTTGTCCTCATATCCCAGCACCTTGTCCTCATATCCCAGCTCCTTGTCCTCATATCCCAGCTCCTTGTCCTCATACCCCAGCTCCTTGTCCTCATATCCCAGCTCCTTGTCCTCATATCCCAGCTCCTTGTTCTCATATCCCAGCTCCTTGTCTACATATTCCAGCACCTTGTCCTCATATCCCAGCACCTTGTCCTCATATCCCAGCTCCTTGTCCTCATATCCCAGCTCCTTGTCCTCATATCCCAGCTCCTTGTCCTCATATCCCAGCTCCTTGTCCTCATATCCCAGCTCCTTGTCCTCATATCCCAGCTCCTTGTCCTCATATCCCAGCTCTTTGTCGTCATATCCCAGCTCCTTGTCCTCATAGCTTAGCTCCCTGTCCTCATATCCCAGCTCTTTATCTACATATCCCAGCTCCTTGTCCTCATATCCCAGCTCCTTGTCCTCATATCCCAGCTCCTTGTCCTCATATCCCAGCTCTTTGTCCTCATATCCCAGCTCCTTGTCCTCATATCCCAGCTCCTTGTTCTCATATCCCAGCTCCTTGTCTACATATTCCAGCACCTTGTCCTCATATCCCAGCACCTTGTCCTCATATCCCAGCTCCTTGTCCTCATATCCCAGCTCCTTGTCCTCATATCCCAGCTCCTTGTCCTCATACCCCAGCTCCTTGTCCTCATATCCCAGCTCCTTGTCCTCATATCCCAGCTCCTTGTCCTCATATCCCAGCTCCTTGTCCTCATATCCCAGCTCCTTGTCCTCATATCCCAGCTCCTTGTCCTCATATCCCAGCTCCTGGTCCAACACAATGTCACACAAAATAATGAAATTAGAATGAAAATAAATCGAAATCTATGAAAATGAACTTTATCAATGCAATCGGAAAGATCGAAATGAAATCGTAACATATTTAGTATAGCGTGGTTTGCTCCTACGTGCAACAGCTGGTGCTGTTTTATAAAAAAAAACATGTTTTTTCCTGTCACAGGTGCGGCATGTATATAGTAGGTATATAAAAACATGCACCTATTCGAATGCAACGTTGTGTAAGATGTTTCGAAGATTTCCATCACATGAAAAACACAGTTTTTCAAAAATGCATGTTTTTTCCCATCACAGACGTGACATATATATATAGAATGTATATAAACACCTGCTCGGATGCCAATGGAACGTTGTGTGAAAATTTCAAAGCAATCAGCGAAGAACTTTAGGAGATAAGCGATTTTGAACAAACGAACATTTTCATTTTTATTTATATAGACTAGCTGTACCTGGCCACACGTTGCTGTGGCTCAGCAACGATTGTGCGTTGCTGAGCTGGTCGCCACAGCATCCTTTCCCTGTCCCACAGTTCTCCCCACCATTTTCCCCTCCCCCGTCCCTTCGTCCTCCCCACCATTCCCCACTCCCTCGTCCGATGCATTCCCAAATGATCTGAAGTTCCCATCAGAAAATTTGGACCATCAAAAGATTTGATGTTCCCATCTATGAACAATAGGAAGAACACTTGAAAATCGAAATTAAAAACAATGAAAAAATATAAAAATAAACAATACTCACGGAATGAACGGTATGGTAAACAACACAGCTCAATTCCAACGCAGTGTCACACAAAATAGTTAAATCAAAATGAAAATAAATCTAAATCTATGAACATTAACATTATCAATGCAATCGGAAACACTGAAAAGGAATCGTAACATATTTAGAATAGCGTGTGTTGCTCCTACGTGTAAGAGATGGCGCTGTATCTGTATCTGGCCTCCTGCTCCCGACACCTATCTTCATTACATTACATAAGTGTGGGTACAAGTGGGTACAAGTGGGTACAAGTGTGGGTACACCTCACTGTACACTTCACATGACCTCATAACGCAACTCGTTCTCGCACTTTCGTACAGTCAATATTGACTTATTAAATAAGTGCATAAGTGACATACTAATTGTGAATATTTTAGTTTACCTTGAAAAGCTTCATAGAAAACACCGACCTCACCTAACCTTCTTAGTATGTTAAGTATCTTATTGCTTCGTACGACGCTTCGTACGGTCGATGCGAGTGATTACCGTACTGCCCAACCGTCTCGACCACTCGTGCATGACTGCATGACCCGTACTGACCTGGAACTTGTCGTGGTGCAGCTCGAGGAGTCGCTTCACCTGGTACGTGTCGTTGTTCTTGATGGCCGTCTCCAGCACCGCCGCCTCGCTCGTCAGGTCGTTGATGGACGAGGTCAAGCTGTCAAGAGACCAGGTTATGTTAGGTCAAGCTGTGGGAGACCAGGTCATGTTAGCTCAAGCTGTGGGAGACCAGGTCATGTTAGCTCAAGCTGTGGGAGACCAGGTCATGTTAGCTCAAGCTGTGAGAGACCAGGTCATGTTAGCTCAAGCTGTGGGAGACAGGTCATGTTAGCTCAAGCTGTGGGAGACCAGGTCATGTTAGGTCAAGCTGTGGGAGACCAGGTCATGTTAGGTCAAGCTGTGGGAGACCAGGTCATGTTAGGTCAAGCTGTGGGAGACCAGGTCATGTTAGCTCAAGCTGTGGGAGACCAGGTCATGTTAGCTCAAGCTGTGGGAGACCAGGTCATGTTAGGTCAAGCTGTCAAGAGACCAGGTCATGTTAGGTCAAGCTGTGTAGGAGACCAGGTCATGTTAGGTCAAGCTGTGTAGGAGACCAGGTCATGTTAGGTCAAGCTGTCAAGAGACCAGGTCATGTTAGCTCAAGCTGTGTAGGAGACCAGGTCATGTTAGGTCAAGCTGTCAGGAGACCAGGTTATGTTAGGCCAAGCTGTGTAGGAGACCAGGTCATGTTAGGTCAAGCTGTCAAGAGACCAGGTCATGTTAGGTCAAGCTGTGTAGGAGACCAGGTCATGTTAGGTCAAGCTGTCAAGAGACCAGGTCATGTTAGGTCAAGCTGTCAAGAGACTAGGTCAAGCTGTCAAGACCAGTTCATGTTAGCTCAAGCTGTCAAGAGACCAGGTCATGTTAGGTCAAGCTGTCAAGAGACCAGGTCATGTTAGCTCAAGCTGTCAAGAGACCAGGTCATGTTAGGTCAAGCTGTGTAGGAGACCAGGTCATGTTAGGTCAAGCTGTCAAGAGACCAGGTCATGTTAGCTCAAGCTGTCAAAAGAGACCAGGTCATGTTAGCTCAAGCTGTCAAGAGACCAGGTCATGTTAGCTCAAGCTGTAGGAGACCAGGTCATGTTAGGTCAAGCTGTCAAAAGAGACCAGGTCATGTTAGGTCAAGCTGTCAAGAGACCAGGTCATGTTAGGTAAAGCTGTCAAGAGACCAGGCCATGTCAGGTCAAGCTGTCAAGAGACCAGGTCATGTTAGCTCACGTAGTCAAGAGACCAGGTCATGTTAGGTCAAGCTGTCAAAAGAGACCAGGTCATGTTAGGTCAAGCTGTCAAAAGAGACCAGGTCATGTTAGGTCAAGCTGTCAAGAGACCAGGTCATGTTAGCTCAAGTAGTCAAGAGACCAGGTCATGTTAGGTCAAACTGTCAAAAGAGACCAGGTCATGTTAGGTCAAGCTCTCAAGAGACCAGGTCATGTTAGGTCAAGCTGTCAAGAGACCAGGTCATGTTAGGTCAAGCTGTCAAGAGACCAGGTCATGTTAGCTCAAGTAGTCAAGAGACCAGGTCATGTTAGGTCAAACTGTCAAAAGAGACCAGGTCATGTTAGGTCAAGCTCTCAAGAGACCAGGTCATGTTAGGTCAAGCTGTCAAGAGACCAGGTCATGTTAGCTCAAGTTGTCAAGAGACCAGGTCATGTTAGGTCAAGTTGTCAAGAAGAGACCAGGTCATGTTAGGTCAAGTTGTCAAGAGACCAGGTGTTAGGTCAAGCTGTCAAGAGACCAGGTCATGTTAGCTCACGTCAAGAGACCAGGTCATGTTAGGTCAAACTGTCAAAAGAGACCAGGTCATGTTAGGTCAAGCTGTCAAGAGACCAGGTCATGTTAGGTCAAGTTGTCAAGAGACCAGGTCATGTTAGGTCAAGTTGTCAAGAGACCAGGTCATGTTAGGTCAAACTGTCAAGAGACCAGGTCATGTTAGGTCAAGTTGTCAAGAGACCAGGTCATGTTAGGTCAAGCTGTCAAGAGACCAGGTCATGTTAGGTCAAGCTGTCAAGAGACCAGGTCATGTTAGGTCAAGCTGTCAAGAGACCAGGTCATGTTAGGTCAAGCTGTCAAGAGACCAGGTCATGTTAGGTCAAGTTGTCAAGAGACCAGGTCATGTTAGGTCAAGCTGTCAAGAGACCAGGTCAAACTGTCAAAAGAGACCAGGTCTCATGGTGTTGAAAGATGTAGCGGTTTCGTCAGTGGTTGTATAAATAATTCTTGAGTCTTGGGGCCATTAGTAGTAAGGTAATTTCATAATTGCTTAGGCCTAAAATGTATAGAAAATGGAAATTTTGCCTCCCATAATAAAGGGTAATTTATAGAAACAAAATTACCCTATGTATACAATACATGAATACTAATGATACATATTAAAGATACATATTAATGATACATATTAAAGATACATATTAATGATACATATTAATGATACATAGATACATATTAAAGATACATATTAATGATACATATTAATGATACATATTAATGATACATATTAATGATACATATTAATGATACATATTAAAGATACATATTAATGATACATATTAATGATACATATTAAAGATACATATTAATGATACATATTAATGATACATATTAATGATACATATTAAAGATACATATTAATGATACATATTAATGATTCATATTAATGATACATATTAAAGATACATATTAATGATACATATTAAAGATACATATTAATGATACATATTAATGATACATATTAAAGACACATATTAAAGATACATATTAATGATTCATATGATTACGAGGTCGGTGGTGTTACGAGGTGGGTGGTGTTACGAGGTCGGTGGTGTTACGAGGTCAATAGTGTTACGAGGTCGGTGGTGTTACGAGGTCAATAGTGTTACGAGGTCGGTGGTGTTACGAGGTCGGTGGTGTTACGAGGTCGGTGGTGTTACGAGGTCGGTGGTGTTACGAGGTCGGTGGTGTTACGAGGTCGGTGGTGTTACGAGGTCGGTGGTGTTACGAGGTCGGTGGTGTTACGAGGTCGGTGGTGTTACGAGCTCGGTGACGCTACGAGGTGTAGAGGGCCACAAGGGTGGCCAACACCGTGTAGAGGGCCACAAGGGGTGGCCAACACCGTGTAGAGGGCCACAAGGGGTGGCCAACACTGTGTAGAGGGCCACAAGGGGTGGCCAACACCGTTTAGAGGGCCACAAGGGTGGCCAACACTGTGTAGAGGGCCACAAGGGGTGGCCAACACCGTTTAGAGGGCCACAAGGGTGGCTAACACCGTTTAGAGGGCCACAAGGGTGGCCAACACCGTTTAGAGGGCCACAAGGGTGGCCAACACCGTGTAGAGGGCCACAAGGGTGGCCAACACCGTTTAGAGGGCCACAAGGGGTGGCCAACACCAAGTAGAGGGCCACAAGGGGTGGCCAACACCGTGTAGAGGGCCACAAGGGTGGCCAACACCGTTTAGAGGGCCACAAGGGTGGCCAACACCGTTTAGAGGGCCACAAGGGTGGCTAACACCGTTTAGAGGGCCACAAGGGTGGCCAACACCGTTTAGAGGGCCACAAGGGTGGCCAACACCGTGTAGAGGGCCACAAGGGTGGCCAACACCGTGTAGAGGGCCACAAGGGTGGCCAACACCGTTTAGAGGGCCACAAGGGGTGGCCAACACCAAGTAGAGGGCCACAAGGGGTGGCCAACACCGTTTAGAGGGCCACAAGGGTGGCCAACACCGTTTAGAGGGCCACAAGGGTGGCCAACACCGTTTAGAGGGCCACAAGGGTGGCCAACACCGTGTAGAGGGCCACAAGGGTGGCCAACACCGTTTAGAGGGCCACAAGGGGTGGCCAACACCAAGTAGAGGGCCACAAGGGGTGGCCAACACCGTGTAGAGGGCCACAAGGGTGGCCAACACCGTTTAGAGGGCCACAAGGGTGGCCAACACCGTGTAGAGGGCCACAAGGGTGGCCAACACCGTGTAGAGGGCCACAAGGGATGGCCAACACCGAGTAGAGGGCCACAAGGTGTGGCCAACACCGTGTAGAGGGCCACAAGGGTGGCCAACACCGTGTAGAGGGCCACAAGGGGTGGCCAACACCGTGTAGAGGGCCACAAGGGTGGACAACACCGTGTAGAGGGCCACAAGGGGTGGCCAACACCGTGTAGAGGGACACGAGGGTGGCCAACACCGTGTAGAGGGCCACAAGGGTGGCCAACACCGTGTAGAGGGCCACAAGGGTGACCAGCACCGTGTAGAGGGCCACAAGGGGTGGCCAGCACCGTGTAGAGAGCCACAAGGGGTGGCCAACACCGTGTAAAGGGCCTTAAGGGTGGCCAACACAGTGTAGAGGGCCACAAGGGTGGCCAACACAGTGTAGAGGGCCACAAGGGTGGCCAACACAGTGTAGATAGGGCCACAAGGGAGGCCAACACCGTGTAGAGGGCCACAAGGGGTGGCCAACACCGTGTAGAGGGCCACAAAGGGTGGCCAACACCGTGTAGAGGGCCACAAGGGGTGGCCAACAAAGTGTAGAGGGCCACAAGGGTGGCCAACACAGTGTAGAGGGCCACAAGGGTTGCCAACACCATGTAGAGGGCCACAAGGGTGGCCAACACCGTGTAGAGGGCCACAAGGGGTGGCCAACACCGTGTAGAGGGCCACAAGGGTGGCCAACACCGTGTAGAGGGCCACAAGGGGTGGCCAACACCGTGTAGAGGGCCACAAGGGTGGCCAACACCGTGTAGAGGGCCACAAGGGTGGCCAATACAGTGTAGAGGGCCACAAGGGTGGCAAACACAGTGTAGAGGGCCACAAGGGTGGCCAACACCATGTAGAGGGCCACAAAAGGTGGCCAACACCGCGTAGAGGGCCACAAGGGGTGGCCAACACCGCGTAGAGGGCCACAAGGGGTGGCCAACACCGCGTAGAGGGCCACAAGGGGTCGCCAACACCATGTAGAGGACACAAGGGTGGCCAACACCGTGTAGAGGGCCACAAGGGCGGCCAACACTGTAGAGGGCTACAAGGGGTGGCCAACACCGTGTAGAGGGCCACAAGGGGTGGCCAACACCGTGAAGAGGGCCACAAGGGTGGCCAGCACCGTGTAGAGGGCCACAAGGGTGGCGAACACCGTG